ATATTCACAAAACTCCAGGATTATGTGCTAATTATACACTCCAGAAATAGCTGAAGTTGTCTTTCCATAAAATTTAGTACTTTACATTTTTCTCTTTTTCTGCCATGTGGGGCTGACAAAGACCATCCCTCAAATACCTTTCTGCATATTGAACCCATTCCACAGTCTGCTAGGAGGATATGCACTGCTTAGCTGTGATCCACAGGCTACAGGATCCTGAGAAATGGGGTCAGAAGCTCCTGTGGATGAAATTTTCTACACTCTTGATTGCGCTGTGATAAAAGGAGCTGTATGCTGGGTGTCGTATATAAGTGATGAAGCACTGAATTCTACTCCTAAAACCAATGTTGTACTGTATGTTAACTCAAATTTAAATAAAAATTTTAAAACATAAAAATAAGTAAATAAAATGAGACCTAGCCTGAGAAAAATAAGGCCTGCTTTCTGGTTCCACATCAGCCATTTTCTGTGAGGTCCTTGGTAAGTCATTTAGTTTAATTATGCCTCAGTTTCTGCACTCAGTTTACCAATAACAAACACTGAGCATTTACCATATAAGACACAGGAATACCTAACTGTATTCATAAGTAGATCATTTCAACATAATATGGTGGATCAGATGGCAAAGATGTGCTGAAGTTGCCACAGGAGCAGAGTAAAACATATGGAATCTGAGCTATAAAAGGATACACAGTACCCTTCCCACCTACTTCACGGGTTGGGGGTGAGAATAAAGTAATGTTGGTGAAGGTACTCAATTTGTGAAAATACACCTCATTTCATCACTCTTAGTGATCGTAGTTGTAGTAAAGACATTGATAGTAGTAAAAGGAAAATTATAAGAAATTAAGGTTAGAGTTAGACAAGATAGGTAAAAATAGACTGACCACAGGAACAGAGCAAAAACTCCAGAAATACAAGTTGCTCTATACAGTGAAGCTGGCATCTCAAAATAGTGGGGAAACTACAGACTTTTAAATAAGTGAGTTGGGATAATTTGATAGTTATATGGAAAAAATAAAACAGTACACTCTTAAAACCTATTTTATTTTTTAAAAAGATTTTACTTGTTTGTTTATTTGAGAGAGAGAGAGAGAGAGAGAGAGAGAGTGCAAGCAGGGGGAGGAGCAGAGGGAGACAGAAAATCTTAAGCAGACTGTGCTGACCATGGAGTCCATTTCAGGGCTCGATCCCATGACCCTGAGATCATGATCTGAGCCAAAATCAAGAGTTGGAGGCTTAGTCAACTGATCCACCCAGGCACCCTCAAACTTATTTTAATATAACTTCCAAATGGTCAGAAATGCAAAGGTAAAAAAAGAAAAAGAAAAAAGAATATGAATACTGATAGAAAAGTTATGAGTGAATATCTTTATAATCTGGGAGTAAATAAAACTTTTCTAACGTAATTCAAAATCTAAAGCAATTAAGGAAAAGACTGATAAATTTTATTTTAAACCTACCCCCCCCCAAAAAAAAGACGAAATAAACTAAAAAATCTTGCATGTAGAAAATAACACAGGAATCAAACTCAAGATATATGACAAATGAGGAATGATGTTTGCAAATTTGGGGCACCTGGGTGGCTCAGTGGTTAAGTGTCTACCTTCAGCTCAGGTCATGATCCCAGGGTCCTGGGATCCAGTCCCACATCGGGCTCCCCACAGGAAGCCTGCTTCTCCCTCTGCCTATGTCAGAAAAAAATATTTGCAACTTTTATCATTAGACAAAGTTTTAACATCTCCAATACAGAAAAATCTTCCAAAAACTGAAAGAAAAAGTCCACAATCCTATAGAAAAAAATGAACTAGATGTATGAACAGATAGTTCACTGAAAGAAATACAAATTGTTCTAGACAACGAAAAGATGTTCAACTTTTCTCATAAGAGAAATGTCAATTAAAACTTCAGTGAGATGCCACTGTCCACCCTCAAACTGTCAAAAATCCAAAAGTTTCACAACATTACTCTTGGAAAGACTATGGCAAGATAGGCATTCTCATACATTTTTGGTGGAAACACAACATGGTATACTATGGAAGGGAATTTGCCAAAATATAGCAAAATTGTGGGTAACTTACTTGATTAAATAATCTTTTAAGAATCTATCCTTAAGGTGAAGGAAAAAATGCAAAGAGAAGATTACATCAGGCTGTTCATTAGAATCTACTTAACATAGCAAAAGCAAAAAATAACAACCCAAATGCCCAACAATATGAGACTGGTGAAATAACCAATGGTTCATTACACAATGGAGTACGAAGCAGTTGTAAAAAGGAATGGGGCATATTTTGTATATACAATCATGAAGCAATCCCTACGTTATATTAAATGAGAAAAACAGGTGAGAAGAGTGAATAATAGCTATTGCTTATATAAAGAGGGAAGAAAATACATACATGGAGACATATACATATCCATATAAAACTTTAGTATTTTCCCTTATTCAAAAATGGAATCCTTCCATTTAATTTTTAATTATTTAAAAATATATAAGTGTAGACCTAAGGGAATAGGAGAGGATAGAGGAATACAAATAGACTTTGTTTCGTCCATGAATTTTAGTACATGAAATGTTCACATGTCTTAAAAAATTAAATTTTATTTTTTTAAATTAAATTTTAAAAATATGTCTAAGTATAAAGAAAAATGGAACAAATACACTTAATTGTATATAAAGTTAGTGACATAACCAGACAAAGAAAAACTATAAGTGACTTTAAAACACAGTAAGTTTGGTGTGCATTCCTAGGGATTATAACATAAAGAAAAAAAAAAAACCCTGCAAGAATCTTGAAAGTGTTTTCAACAACCATACTGGGGGTGTTACTGTCAAAGATACAGCAAATGTGCAAATGTATTGCTGTCCTTAAGAACCAGGATTGTCGACCTGGGAAGAAATAGAAAAGGATCCGAGTTTGATAAGTAAAAATCCTTCAGCACTGGTTTTGATTAGAGTATTAGTATATTACAAAATGTATGTTATTTTAGAAAGAAAAAAATTACATTTTGTAGTTCTGTGCACAGAAAAGCCTAGAAACTGTGATAGACTAAATAGCATTGAGTGTCCCCAGAGCCAAAATTATAGTCTCTAAATACCAATGTACATGAAAAGGAAACAGTGTTTTGGGGAAAAAAGATGATTCCAAGTTCAGGGAAGGAAATGATAACCACAGAGTTTGTTGTCATATCAGAAAGCAAGAAAGCAACTAAAGATAATGGAAGGACTTATCTGAAGGACTCAGCCACCAACATGAAAAGGACCTCACTGCCCAAATATGGAATAATTTGAACATTAATAACTGCAGTGGATTGAAACTTATTGAAGGTTTTAAGTCCATTAATTAATAATAATAGTTTAAAAAAACAACTAACAGGTTGCCAATGGACGATATTGAAGTTCAACTCATTAATTTGAAGGCCTAAAAATAGCGGAAAATAATTAAACATTTGTTTTCTTCTTCTTATATAAACTGTACCTCTGTATAACTGAATAGTTAATGAGATATTTATTTTTATAGAATTATTTCAGGTAATAAAGGAGGAATAACTATAGACTACCACCATCTTGCAAACCAAAGTGGAGTATGGAATTAGACAGAAATCATCAGCTGATACTGTAAAAACAGATAAGCAGACATCACACCTCTTCGTTGAAGTACATAACACTATCTATGAAGGAATTTTGCCAAAAAAAAAAAATTAATCTGATCAAGCATTTAAGTCTTTCAGAAAATTAACAGGAATTAAGGAGAAACACCTGTTGAGTGACAATACGTGATTGCAATCAGCAAAATCCAGACTATGAGAAATGCTCTGTGGAATGTACAGATTTCTTTAAAAATTTTTGAAAAGAGACAGAAATGAAAGGGGACTATAGAGGATGTAAGGGGCATATCTGCCATTTGGAATGTAGGGACCTTATTTGGATTTGATTAGAACTAAACAAAACACACAAATTTAAAAAATGGAAACAGAGATCTTAACAGTGAGCAGATATTCAATTGTGTTGAGAAATTCTCTTTCATTGTGTGTGTGCGTGCGTGTGTGTCTGTAATAATGACATTGCGAATATGTTTTTTTAAAAAGTGTATCATTGACATACATGCACACAGATGAAATGTTATAATATTTTTTAAAGTTTTAAATTTTAGTTAACATACAGTGCAATATTGATTTCAGGAGTAGAATTCAGTGACTCATCACTTACATACAGCACCCCAGTGCTCAACCCAACAAGTGCACTTCTTAATTCCCATCACCCATCTAGCCCATCGCCCACCCACCTCCCTCTATCCACCCTCAGTTTGTTTTTTATTTTTAAGAATCTCTTATGGTGGGTCGCCTGGGTGGCTCAGCAGTTGAGTGTCTGCCTTTGGCCCAGGGAGTGATCCTCAAGTCTCAGGATCGAGTCCCACATTGGGCTCTCTGCATGGAGCTTGCTTCTCCCTCTTCCTATGTCTCTGCCTCTCTCTCTGTGTGTCTCTCATGAATAGTTAAATAAAGTCTTAAAAAAAAAAGAATCTCTTATGGTTTATTTCCTTCTCTGTATTTTCTTTTCCTCCTTGTCATATGCTTATCTGTTTTTTTTTCTTAAATTCCACATCTGAGTGAGATCATAGGGTATTTGTCCTTCTCTTACTGACTTCTTTCACTTAGAAATATTATAATATTTAATTATTGCTTCAAAATTACCAGGCAGGATGGGGAAAGACTGAGTGGAGTTGAAGAGAGTTGAAGCTGAGAGTGATTTTTTTTCCTACTTTTGTTTATGTTTAAAACACCCAAGTATTAAACTATTTTCAACGAGGAAAAACCAAAACAAGTTAGAGATTGTTGATATTCTTGCAGACCCTGTTGCTTTCAAGTATAATACCTAGGAGAATCTACAAATTCTGTGAGTTGAAAGAGAAGTTACAGTGGATCAAAGATGGAGAGGATTGAGTAGATCAAGAAAACCATAAAAATCAATAAATTAATGTAAGTTGTGATTTACTTACATTTTTCTGGCTGATAAATCAGGTTACAGTGCATCATATGAAGAGTTATCAGAGCCATAAGTGTAGACATAAAAGGAATGAGTAAAACTAGGACCCAGGCCCCTGAGTGCTGAATGTAAGATATTCCCAGAAAGACAACAGTTGCTTTCAGGTTCATGATCCAACAAAACCTGTGATACACAGACAGTTACTTCAGATACCATTCAGTTACTTCAGAGAACGATTGCTAATTTTAATGCTTTGATCTAAATGTAAGCTATGAAGTGTTGGTCTGTTAGCTGAACTAGAATGTGCAAATATTGTTTATTAGATTTCTTACTAAGTGTATACATATCAGCTATGGAGTCTTATCATATTCTTATACATATCTTATTCTGTTATCTTGGTTTCATTCCTTTTTAGAACAGAGGTAGAAAGAACGTGTTTTCTTATCTAAAGTAGAAGTTGACAAACTTTTTGGAAAGGGCCTCAGTGAATATTTTAGCTTTTGCGCAGGTCATACCATCTCTATAGCAACCACTCAACTACGTGTTGTGGCACTAGAGAAGCAGTAGATAATACTTATTAAAACATGCTTAATGAGGGCACCTGGGTGGCTCAGTTGGTTAAGTGTCTGCCTTCTGCTCAGGTCACCATCTTAGGGTCCTGGGATAAAGTCCCATATCCAGCTGCTTGTTCAGCAAGGAGTTTGCTTCTCCCTCTTTCTTTACCACCTGCCACCCTCTGGTTCACGCTCTCTCTCAAATAAATAACACCTTTAAAAACATGTGCCTAATGAATCTGGAAAAGATTGCATGAGTAAAGAGTTGATCCTTCCTATTTATTCTACTTTTTCAAAGTAAGGGTAAACTCAGGAATACCTTGGTTATACTAGATCATTCATTAAACCAGAAAAATGAGTGTCATTTGAATAACACTTTCAGTACCTCTTCCTAACAAATAATATTATAAGGAAGTACCTATAGCAGTAGCCTGGTTTGTAATTTTGGGGAAATAATCTGTATCACTCAACTTTTCATCGGGTCTAAATCCCCACTATTGGAATCCCATTGCAGAGGAGTTGTCTTAAAATTAATTAAAAAATTGATGTAAAATTAAATAAATTAAATAGCTGCTCAATATAGAGTTTTATGAATTCTGATAAATGTTTCATTTGGGCAAACAATAAGAGATCTAAGTTTTAGAACACTTAACATTACCATTAAGGTTTAAAGGCCCTACCTAGTTAGATAAGGCCCACCCAGGATTCCAGGGTAATCTCTTCTTTGACGAATTTAAAATCAAATGATTAGAGACTTTAAAAAAAAAAGATTTTATTTATTTTAGAGACAGAGAAGGGGAGAGAGTGTGTGTGCAAAGGGGGGAAGAAGCAGAGGGAGAGGGAGAGAGAGCCTCAAGCATACTCCCTGCTGAACAAGGAGCCCAATGAGGGTTCGATCTCATGATCCTGACATCATGACCTGAGCTGAAACCAATTCAGATGCTTAACTGATTGAACCACCCAGGTGCCCCTAGCACCTTTAATTACACTGCAAAATACCTGCACTTTTGCCATATAGCAACATAATCAGGGGTTAATATCTGTCATCTCTGCCATATTCTATTGGATGGAATCAGGTAACAGGTTGTCCCCAGATTCTGCGGGATGGGTCTGTCAAGGATAGGGCTCATCCTATGGCATTTCCTCTACATGTTCTAATTGATCCTTCCTTCCTTCCTTCCTTCCTTCCTTCCTTCCTTCCTTCCTTCCTTCCTTCTTTCCTTCCCTCCCTCCCTCTCTCCCTCCCTATTCCTTTCCTTCCTTCCTTCATCCCTCCCTCTCTCCTACTCCCCTTCCTTTCCCTTCTCTTCCCTGTACCTTTCTTTCTTTCTTTTTCTAAGTGAAAGAAGAAACAGAGTCAACAGGTAAGAATGGCTACAGGGATACTGAAGGTTTGAGGAGAAAAGAAAAGGTTAGAAGTCATCTAAAAGAGGAGGAAGGGAATGATTGAATACTGGTTGCTTGCTAGGTAATACTAAGGGGCTGCTTGAAGTTGATGATAGTGACTGGTTGGCTTAGTTGGTAGAGCCTCTGATTCTTGATCTCAGGGTGGTGAGCTCAAGCGCCGTGTTGGGTATGGAGCATACAAAAAAAAAAAGTACTCTTTTTATCTGGCTTCTTTCATTTAGCATAATTATTTTGAGACTGACCCATGCTGGTTTTTTTTTCTTTTATCAGTTCATTCCTTTATATTGCTAAATAGTATTCCATTACATAAATATACCACAATTTATCTATTTATCTGTTGATGGACAGTTTTTCCAACTTATGGCTACTACAAATAATTTTCTGAACATTCACATCCAAGTCTTTTTATAGATATAGACTCAATTTTGGGTATGGAGGAAGCCTAGGAGTGGAATGGCTGGATGATACAGTAGATGAATATTTAACATTTTAAGAAATTTCCAAATGGTTTTCAAGTAATTATAACATTTTGCATTACCCACAAACTGTGTATGATAGTTCTGAAACCTCCACATCTTGGCCAACACATAGTATGATCAGTCTTTAATTTTACCCATTTTAATAGATGTGTGTTCATATCCCATTATGGTCTTATTTTACATTTTCCTAATGACTAGCGATATTGAGCAACTCTTCATGTGCTTTTATCCTTCTTTGTGAAATTGCTGTTCAAAATATTTGCCCATTTAAAACAAAACTAGGTTGTCTATTTTCTTATTGAATCTTAAGTGTTCTTTATATACTCTGGATGCAAGTCTTTTCATCAAATATATAATAAATATTTTCTCTCAGGCTGAGACTTGCCTTTTCATTTCTTAAGAGTGTCTCTTGAAGAACATAAATTCTTAATTTTGTTGAAGCCCAATTATTATTATTTTTCCCTCTTAAGGATCATGCATTTAGTGTTGTATCTAGGAGATCTTTCCCTTACCCTAGATCACAAAAATTTTCCATCCCTGTTTCAGAGAAGGAATTTTGACATTGGAGACCTGAACTGATTCAAGTAAATTCTCATGGCTGTGTTGTTGCAAAGCCATGAGTAGGAGCCATCTGTGCTGGCTAACTTTAGGTGTCTTTTTATACTTTTTCCCAGGTCTTTCTAGTTATCAAGTTGATGACACCACCATTTCCTCATTAGTATAAGCTTTAACATTTGAAATTACTTTTCACTCATGCCTCTCATCACATTTTATATATTATTAATTATAAATATTGTTTTTTCCTCTCTAGAATGGTACTCAAAAGACGTGAATTTGGGATGTCTGGAGGCTCAGTTGGTTAAGTCTCTGCCTTTGGCTCAGGTCATGATCCCAGGGTCCTGGGATTGAGCCCCATAACCAGCTCCCTACTCAGCAGGCAGCCTGCTTCTCCCTCTTCTTCTGCTTCTCCTCCCTGCTTATGCTCTCTCTCTCTCCCTCTCTTTCAAATAAATAAATAAATTAATTAATTAAAAAAAAGACATGAATTTGAGTGATTACTGTGAGAATCACATAACTGTGTCTTAGGCACTCTGGAAGTCTGGGTCTTTGTTTTTAAAATAGGGATCATACCCTCTAGACAGGGTTTTTGTAAAACCTGAATGAAGAACATTGACTGTAGCTGCACTGCGCTAAGCTAACATCGTCATGTTCTTCACTTTTCATCCATCTTGATTTCAGAAACAAAACAAGCTGTGAAGTTGGAGCATGGTGAGCAAGGAATAGAGTGTTTGAAGAGACGATCAGTGAGTACAGGTGATCCAGATTATGCAGGGACTTGAAGTCCATAGTAAGGAGTTTGGTTTTTATTCTTAGTACATTAGGGAGTCATTTGAAGGTGACTGATTAGGGGGCTGAAATGATCTGCTTTCAAATGGGAAAAAGGATTACTGTGTCAGCTCTATGCATGTAGATAGGGCCTGGTAAGGAGACCAATCACAGGTACTGTAGTTGGAAGAGAGCTAGGAGTGAACTTCTGTGGGGGTAGCAAAGTCAAGGAAGAGAGGGAGGTAAGTGTGTGATGTATATTTGGAAAGGAGACATGCGCCCAGCTAGCCTTGTCCTTTCACTCTCCTCTAAACAGGCTTGCTCATTTTCATCCCTATAACTTTTTTTTTAAGATTTTGTTTATTTAATTGAGAGAGAAAGAAGAGTGTGTGCATGAGCACACACGTGCGGGGTGGTGGAGGGGGGCATGAGGAAGAGGGAGAAGCAGGCTCCCCGCTGAGCCCCACGTGGGACCCTGGGATCATAACCTGAGTGGAAGACAGATGCGTAACCAACTGAGCCACTAGACATCCCAATCCCTACTTAACTAAAGTCCCATGTCAAATTTCTTTTCCTTCATTCAATATTGTCTTAAATAGAAGTTCTCTGAACTTCTAAAACAATCTGTTCTGGAATGATTTCACTTTTGTCAGTTCTGTCTTCTCACTTATAGATTGTCAAGCTCTCTGACAGCAATAGCTTATTCTTTGTCTCCACAGGACATAACATGGTTCTGGGTCCACAGTAAAGGGATAGGAAATAAATGATTGATGAATAACATGGCATCTCATTAAAAAAATCAAGTGATCAAACAACAACATTTAAAGACAAACTTTCAATAATTGAACTAGGAAAGTGATAAAACATCAAACATGGCCATGCAGAGGAACCTGGTTTACTATAATTCACGACTAGAAACTTGTCACACTGCAGGTGAGACACAAAGTTAGAGTTTTATAGGACAACTGGATAGAGTCCCTAGGCTCTGTCTCTGGTCATCCATGCTGCTTAAGCTGCACACTTGAGTTGTGGCTGTAGCAACTGGGAGAAGCTGGGGCTGCAAGCAGTGTATATTTCTTTCAATCTTTAGGAAACCATTTTTTTAAATGTTCAATATTGCTTAGAAAATCCAAGAGGACATTGTGTGGCTCTTCAGAACATGGTGATATAAGCTAAAATGCTCTAAAGAGGGTCAAGGAGAATTATAACTATTCTAAGACTTAAATCTCGTGAAAAGTGGTTAGAAACAAAAGAATTATAGTATTGAATATCTATGTATAGGAAGAGATTTCACACCAAGTACTAAATGTATTTTAACAAATGCCATCCAACCTATTTGATTGTGTAATTTTCTGGAAGAATTGCCTAGTACAAGCATGTTTTATATATGTCTTTATTGATCCATGGACAGGATAAG